CGCCCCCCCCCTTTTCAGGGCACATCCGACTCTGGCCAGTGCTCCCTTCCACTCTCCACCCAACTCCCGGCAATCTTCAGACCTGCCACCACGAAAACCTCAAATCCTAACTAACTAACTAACTAGATGGCTTACCGAACCCGAAGGTTCATCACCGAATTAACCAAAGCCCTCCACTGGAACCTGTCCTGGGCCAACGAAATCCAGTCTCCTTCAACTCATATCTCCCATAGATCCCGCCTGAGATTATCCTTCCATGTACATCTAGGTCTCCCTGGCAGTTTCTTTCCCTCAGGCTTCCCAACCAATGCACCTCTTGTCCCATCCATGCGCGCTACATGCCCCGCCCATCTCATCTTCTCGACTTACTCACTGTACCAGTCCAGGTTCCTAGTTAGACTCCCGAGATGAAAGGCAGACCTGCATTAGGCGTATTAATCTGGCTCATATAAACGAGGGAGGCGTGATTTGATATTTGGTACGCCTTACTTCATCCACATTTATCGAGTTTAATAATTTTGGCTTTGTTAATTTATTGGGTCGGAAGACAGTGGCGACACTCAGCGGCTTGAACGTGTTTCTTCCAGACTTTACTTTTAGCGACGACGTGACGTAGAAGTTATTTACGAGGCGATAACTTAATTCCTTCCAGTGTGAGATGACGGCTGCCGAATTTGGGTTTCCAGCGTCAGGGGGGAGGACGCATCGGATCGCCCTATTCGATTTAAAATTTGAAAACAAGTACAGAATGCCAATGTTTTTCTTGCACACAGATTTTGTGTACGTAACCAACCGATTCATTGCGCTGACGTGAAATAAATGTTAGTGGTTTTGCATCTGCGCGTCTCAAGACGTAAATTCGTCTCCATTTGCGTAGGCCAAAAGATTTCGAACCACCGCCTCCCCCCGTGTGCGCCTTGAAGGCCGAGAGAATCTTCTCGCCGACTAGAAAATGATTCTCGACAATCTCTTGCGTGCGAGCTCCATCTCGATCTGATGGCCGAGTGACTCAGGGTCTTTCATTTTAAGGCCGGAGAAATGAAATCTTGAACAAATTTCTGTTTGCCCTTCGCGGTCCCTTTTAATAAGATGTATGAATTCAAGTACTGTTAGGAACTGGTCTCATTTCCTTTTTAACTTGCATAAACGGAAGGCGCTTTGCTAAATATGTTCTGAGAGGATCGCAGTTCCTTGTTTGGATACTGACCGTGTGAAATATTTTTCACGGACTGTCCCACTGTCGCCAGTGCGTTGCGTAATAACTGCGTCCTGTCTTTCGATTGACAAGACTTTGGCGACGTCTAAACATCATTTCATATTCTCAGAGCTGTGCTTTCTTTCGCGATAATTGTTTTCGAAAGTTCAAGACCAGGAAAGTGAAACAGAAGTCACTGCACATGAAGAATGCTTGATAAGACGACGAATGAATACGCTCATGTCAGTGGTGGATTGTTCTATGCGGCAAAAATAATTTTAAAAAATAGAATTTCCTAATAGGAAGATGGGAC